ATACATATATGTATATATATGTACATGTATACATATATATATATTTACATATATATATTGTTACATCTACATTATTCATACATAGATGCAATAAATACAGATAATTATTTATCCACTTACTCGATTTTCATTCCGCAGATGATGCATGCTTCCTACTGGTATTACTTTTCCAAGTTTGTCGACTTCCTGGATACGGTGAGTCCCAAATAATTTTCTCTTTTCTTTCTCTCTTTGTGTATCTATCTTTCTGTCTATCAATTTATCCTTATATCAATATATCTATCAATCGCTCCCCCTCTCTGACTCTCTCTCTCTTTCTCTTTCGATCGATCTATCTGTATATTTCTATCCCCATATGTATCTATCTATCGGATCTGTCTATTCATTTAGATATCTATTTACCCCTCTCTCTCTCATCCCTCTCTCTCTCTCTCTCTCTCTCTCTCTCTCTCTCTCTCTCTCTCTCTCTCTCTCTCTCTCTCTCTCTCTCTCTCTCTCTCTCTCTCTCTCTCCCTCTCTCCTATCTGTCTAACTATTCGTCTATCTATTTATCTACCTATCCATTTACCATGCAATCTATTTATGCATCAATTTACCTATTTACTTATTATCTTTATTTATCAGTCCATTACCTTTCTATCTAGCTATCTACCTGTCGATTTATCTATAGATGCCTATCAATTCATCACTAAAAAGTATCTAAAAAGTTAGCCTATTAAAGATGATAAATCAAGCTTATAAAACATAATAAGTAAACCACCTTTCTTTAACATTTTCTTTTATTTTCTTCTTCCCCTTTTCTTTCGTAGATTTTCTTCGTCCTGCACAAGAAATACGAACACATTTCAGTCCTTCACGTGTGCCACCATTCCCTTATGCCGGTTAGCATGTGGTATGGCGTCCGTTATCAGCCAGGTGAGTTATTTCGTCTGGTGTTCGTTACCTGGTGTTCGTTACCTGGTGTTCGTTACCTGGTGTTCGTTATCTGGTGATACTTTGTTTGATATCAGGGTACTTGATAGTAAAGTGTTTGTTACTTGGAAGGTAAACAGAGCTAGTTCGCTATCAACCAGGTAAGTTATTTCGTCTGGTGTTCGTTACCTGGTGTTCGTTATCTAGTGATACTTTGTTTGATATCAGGGCACTTGATAGTAAAGTGTTTGTTACTGGAAGGTAAACAGAGCTAGTTTGTTATCAGCCAGGTAAGTTATTTCGTCTGGTGTTCCCTACCTGGTGTTCGTTAGAGTGTTTGGTGTTTGTTATCTGGTGATACTTTTGCTCGGTATCTACCAGGTAAATGTAAGTTTTGTTCGTTGTGAGTGGCATATGAATAGTTAATTCGTTATCAACTGGTAAAATAAAGACATATTTTTCGTTACTTGGTAATATTATATTCATTATTAGTGACGTAAATATAGCTGTTTTGTTATCACCAGGTAAATATGGGTATGGTTTTCATTACTTAACTACCATGTTCGAATTAACGAGGTGATCATAACTAGCTCGTTATCACCAGGTAAGCATGGGTTTGGCTTTTCTTTCTTGACTTTACGTGTCCGTTACCAGGCAGGTAAGCTTGTAATTTACTTATTTTTCTTTTTAACATATCAAGTTCGTAAACAAGTAAACATGACTTTGGTGTTCGTTGCTTGACATTACACTATTCGTTATCAGCCAGATAATCATGTACCTGATTTTCATTCCTATAAATTCATGAACGACAGCCTACCTGGTGTATGCTATCCTGTTCGTTATGACTTGGGTCCGTTATATCCCGTTTACAAGCGGGTGTTGCTTAAGACGTGAATGCTAACAGGTCTTCGTCATTTAGAAATGTTGCCTTTAACGGTACTCTGTATTATGCTTTGGCATGAGTATTGTGAGTATTATGCGCAATAGTGATGACTTTTAAGTATATGGAGGACTTGGTTATAATATTTTTATGTACCTGTTTGACTTCTTAGAGCCGAGAGGAATGCTAGATCCGGATGGAGTGAATGCGAGTGCTTGCATGCAGTGCGTGTTGGTGTGAGTGTAAAAGAGAGAGGGAGAGATATACACAGTCAGTCTGAGCAGTCAGTCGTCAGGCAATCAGTCAACCAGTCATTCAATAAGTCAGTCATTCAATTAATCAGCTAATCAATCAATCAGTCAAACAAATACACAAAAAGGGCCTGAAAGTGATGCTGAACAAAAAAAAAGAAAAAAAAAGAAACACTCCCCCTTTAGAAATATAAACATCCGAATTAACAAAAAAAAAAAAAAATACTCAATAACCAAAGAAACCAACAAATGAAACCCTCACAAACGCACACACCCACACCCCCTTACCAAACGCAAAACCAACAACAATACTAATAATAACAACAACCCCTGCCCCTTCCCACAGGCGGCCACAACACACTGATGGGCTTCCTGAATTCCTTCGTCCATGTCGTCATGTACGGCTACTACCTCCTGGCCGCCATGGGACCCAAAGTCAGGCCCTACTTGTGGTGGA